CCGGGTAGCATACAGTGCAAGTTGTGGTTTTAATGCGCTCTAACACTAGCAAACTGACAAGGTCTTTCACTGTCAATAGCCCGGTATCCATTTTCACCTGGGTGAAGAGGAAAATTAATGTTAGGTGCCTTCTTTCCCAAGGATTCAACGTCGGGTCCGTGACGGGATTCGAACCCACGACCTTACGGTTGCAAGTCCGAGTAGCAGTGATTTGATTGTGTGTATGTGTGTGTGTGTGTGTGTGTGTGCGTGCGTGTGTGTGTGTGTGTGTGTTGTTGTTGTTGTTTTTGTTTGTTTGTTTTTGGGTGGCGGTTGTATCTTTTAAATGTATATTGTATGATTGAATCGTCGAAAGATATTGGTATCTGTGGTGTAGCGGAGTGATGCATCGCCGTAACATGCAGCTGAAATGAGTAAGATTCCCGTGTGGAGAGAATTTTACTGAATATCTCCGCCTTTCTTCTGAGATGTTGTATCCCTCTCAGCAGCGATTAACTCTGATAGGCAGGGTTGAAACCCGCTTTCTAAATGATCTAAATCATGTTGATGGTGTAAATCACCAACAATAAAAAAAAAAAAGAAAGGCCTGAAGTTTTGGAGGGCTACGTTGTTGGACACTGTAGTGAAGGACTCTCTCTGATTATTCTGCATGTTGCTCGCTTGTTATTATGCCTAGAGTGCTCGATTTGACTATTTCCATCCAGCAGAATTTGGTTGATGTTGAGGAAATTGGCATGCTAATATCTCATGGCCACAGTTTACGCCTGCAACTTTTGCAGTACCTTATTTTGCAGTTGTATATGATGAAAAAAAAACACCCCAAAAACCCCAAAAAACAAATCAACATGTGAGTCATACAAACAGCATATAGTGAGCTGTCTGTGTGTGTTGTTATTGTTGTTGTTGTTTTGTTGTTGTTTGTTTGTTGTTATTGTTGTTGTTATTGTTATTCTTGTTGTTATTCTTGTTGTTATTTTTGTTGTTATTCTTGTTGTTATTCTTGTCGTTGCTGCTGTTGTTATTCTTCTTAAGTTGTCTCGTAATGTACATTTTTGGTCGTTTGATTTGTTGATTATTGAATGATAATTCTGCACTGTACCGTGTTTAGAGCCTTCTTGGGATTGGACGTTATATAATTCGCATTATTGGCATTGTTGTTGTTGTTGGTGTTGTTCTCTTCTTCTTCTTCTTCTTCTTCTTCTTCTTCTTCTTCTTCTTCTTCTTCTTCTCAGCTTGGTGGAAGATTTCGGTGCTGATAATGAAAACTATGTTTAAATAACATATTTAAATTATTAAAATCATTGGTTGAGAGTGACGAACGGTTTGTCTGCACATTCCCCAGGCCAGTGCCAGTGAGCGGCTGAACCAGATGGCCAGCGATACAGACGATTTCCAGCATCTGACAGCAGGTCAGGTGGCGGAGTTCACGACAAAGCTGAAAGGGCTACAATCTGCTGTGGCTACTGACGACGAGGTGAGTCAAATCTTCTTCTTCTTTTCTTGGCGTTCCCCAACACGTTAGATCTCATGGGTAGTCGACTGTTGGTAACAGCAGTGTAAATGAGATGCATTTTGAAAAGGACATTTTCACTACTTTCAAGTGTAGAATCACAGTATTTGGCGCTCATTTGACATTATGCAGTTGCGAACACCGTAAAAACTCTACAAAGACAAACAAACAAGACTCATGGTATTCATGTACTGCTGGATATCCTGACGAAATGTTTTTCTTTTTGAGTCAAGGTTTTCATTTACTATTGGCTTTGCTTACAAAATATCCCTTGTTTAAAGTTGACGTGTTCATTTATTGCCTGGTGTCATCCTGGAAAGCAGGAAAGCATGCCTTCATGATAAATCCATTGAAGAGCCCCTAAAATTCTAATTAACGTCACATTGCCCTAGAAGTGGACAGTGTTACCATCAGCTGTTTGTTTTAGTACGAGCTTTATGGAACTGCATAAGATCAAGCTATGTATTTAATGTTGTCGTGGGTTTATGGTAGCAAACTGTATGCACTAAGCCCAGAAAGTAAAATTTTACAGAAGAAGAAAAAAAAACACCCTCTGTCCGACATTGTGACCTGGGAAATGGCATTCCACACAAATTGTTCCATTTATTTACTCAATCCTGGCGGAGTTGGACGTTGAATTCGGAAGTTTCGATTTAGAAATAACCTTACAGTGTTGCAAGGAGCATTAACCATAATAGTATAGTACAATTTGAAACATTTTTTAAAATCCATGCTGATTTTTCTTTCTTCTTTCAGTTAGCTAAAGTTGCTCTGAAAGTGGTCAGCAACCTCGCCAGCGTCAACGTGTCTGTGAGTGAGATGGTGGAAAAGCAGAACGGTAGCAACGCACAGTGAGTATACTGGGAGCATCATCTGTTTAGTCACGTTACCCCAACATCTCTCTCCCAACTGGTTCAGGGGTCATGGGAACACTCTTTTTTATTACTTGTTAATATATCTGTACCTCTATTGAATTATAATAATAATGGT